GTGGCCTCTCCCATTTGCGGAGCACAGGCTCCGGACGCGCAGGCTCAGTGGCCATGGCTCACGGGCCCAGCCGCTCCGCGGCATGTGGGATCTTCCCGAAACGGGGCACGAACCCGCGTCTCCTGCATCGGCAGGCGGACTCTCAAGCACTGCGCCACCAGGGAAGCCCATACATATACATTTAAATTCAATTTTATTGCTAATTTTTCAAAATCAAGTTTTTAATTGTAATATATTTTATAGTTAGTAAATGGTTGTGGTACTAAGAAATCAATTACAATAGAATTTCCATAAATTAATTCTCCTCTTACAATATTTGATTAGGTGAAGAACTACAAGGGTATTATAGTGTTCTTTGGTCCATAAATGTAGCACAATTAGAAGAGGTTAAGAGTTAAGGAATAGCAGACATCTAAGAATCGGTCAGTTTCAGTACACAAACTGGGTATATATTTTTAAATGCCTTGTCTTCTTTTGGGCTACCATAACAAAGTACCATAGACTAGGTGGCTCAAACAATAGAAATTTATTTCTCACAATCTGAGATCAGAGTGCCATTACGGTTGGGTTCAGATGAGAACTCTCTTCCTGGCTTGCAGAGAGCCAACTTCTCACTGTATCCTCACATAGTGGAGAAAGAGAGAGAGATGGAACTCTCTGGTGTCTCTTCTTATAAGGGAACCAATTCCATCAGGAATTAGGGCCACCCTGATGACCTAATTACCTCCCAAAGACCCTCTCAAAATATCACTACATTGGGGGTTAGGGCTTCAACAGAAGAATTTTGAAGAGACACACATTCAGTCCGTAACATTCCACCCAGATCTCCCAAATTCATGTTCTTCTTACATGCAAAATACATTCATTCCCAAGAGCCACAAAATTCTTAACTCATTCCAGCATCAACTCTAAAGTCCATCCTGAGGCAAAATCCTTTCCAGCTGTGAACCTGTGAAACCAGAAATGCTTTGTGCTTCCAAAACACAGTGGTGGGACGGGCAAAGGACGGACATTCCCATTCCAAAAGGGAGAAACAGGAAAGAAGGGGTGATAGGTCCCAAAAAAAGTCCAACATCTGGCAAGGCAAATTCCATTAGATTTTAAGGTTGTAGAATAATCCTCTTTGGTTCCATACTCTGCCCTCCAGGCCCCCAGGGCAGCAACATCACCCAAAAAGTTCTAGGTGAGGGTCCCACTCCAAGAACTCTGCAGGGTAGTACCAGCCCCAAGGCTTCCAGAAGAGGCTTTCTAGCTTGTTGAATCCTGATAATCTCTGAATCACTTTGGGGGTCATTTGGTGCTTAAGAAAAGCACCATGTTCACCATCAAATAGCTCTAATATCCCTGTCCTGTCAAATTTAGTAACTTTAATAGCCTTCATCCATTACATCTTTAATTCAAACTGGAAGTGTTTACACTCTTATAATCCCAGAAACTCTTCATTGAGCGACAGTCCAACCACACCCCTGGTGTTCCCTTCAGAACATGCTTTCTCATTTTTTGCAATATGGATAGACTGAAAATTTCCCAAATCTTCAAGTTCTGGTTCCATTTTTGTTTAGCAATTGCTTCTTCAATTCATCGCTCTCCTTTTATATTTTACTATAAGCAGGAGAAATCAAGCTGTTCATTCAACACTTTGCTTAGAAATCTCCTCGGCTATATATCCAAATTTATTACTCTCAAGTTCTACCTTTCAAAAAATATTAGAAAATGATTCAGCTAAGTTCTTTGCCACTTTAGAACTAGGATCGCCCTCTCCTCCAGTTTCCAATAACATGCTCTCACTGCTGTCTTGAGACTTCACCAGAATTACCTTTAATGTCCACATTTCTAGCACACACTTCAAAACTCTTCCAGCCTCTACCCATTATCCAATTCCAAAGCCACTTCTACACTTTTAGGTATTTGTTATGGGAGCACCCATCTTCTTGGTATCAAAATCTTAGCCAGCTCATAATCAAATACCATAGTCGGGTGACTTAAACAACAGAAATTTATTTCTCACAGACCTGGAGTCTGGAAGTCTGAGATTAGAGTGCCACCATGGTCAGGGTATGGTGAAAACTCTCTTTCTGGCTTGAAGACAGCTGCCTTCTCATTTCATCTTCATATGTTGGAGGGAGAAATCAGGCTCTTTAGTGTGTCTTCCTATAAGGGTACTAATCCCATCACAGCAGGGCCCTACCCTCATTATCCTAATTAGCTCCCAAAGACCCCATCTCCAAATATCACCATGTTGGGGGTTAAGGATTTAATATATGAATGGGGGTGGTACAAACACTCAGTCCATAAAGTGGTGCCTGTACATTTCTACCTGTGATAGAGAAAGCTGCAATCTATAGGAACAGAGAAAGAAATGTCAGATTTAGAAAAGGCAAGCAAAAGAAGTCACCAAATAATTTTGTTTAAAATTACTATTTTCTACTTTTCTTCCATAGCAAATTGATTTTGAAAAATCAATATTCTATATCATTACTATAACAAAATTAAATGTTATTCTATTCATCTTAAATCCACTCAATCTGTGCATTAACATTTATGTGTATAAATTCTCTATTTTCCCTTCACAGGAAAGTTCCATCTCATTTCACAGTTTTCACCCAGGCTATCTTACAGATTCATAGCTCCTTATTTAAAGTAAAACACAGGATTGAAATTTTGCTTATCTTATCTTATAAAGGGTTTTCTTTTTACTCTTCAACAAGATTTAATTACTGCTTTAGGATGAATGTTTAACAAAGATTAGTCCTATGAGATTATTCATCAAAACAACCTATCACCCAATGGTTTGGTGACTTTTAATTCATAGATTCTTTTCTTTTAATACTAAGGAGAGTGCTCTTACTATGTATGCTTAAAAATAAAGTTATGAAGTATTTGATAGCTTATTACCTGTGTGCAAGATCTATAGAAACAAAGAAAAAAATATAAAGAGGTCTCATAAGAGGAGTGATTTCATAAGTATCCTGGGTTTGGAAAGTTGCAGTCTCTGTAGCTGTGTTTACAATTAATGAATATTCTCCTATACACAATGTCATCCATCCAAAGAAAAATAGTAGAACAGTGCCTCCTGCACTGCTATACAGCAGGGTTATTCTATTCGGAAGCAAATACCATGTTCCAAGACCACACACTAAGCCAGCAAGAAAAGAATGAAAAACGGTATTGGCTGTATGTTTTTTGCCAGGAATTAGAAATTTGATGGTCTCAGCATCAGCACAACTTGTAAATTCATGCTCATCTTCCTCTGCTAAGATATCTGTGGTCAGCATTCTTTCCACTGTCACGGATCTGCTTCTGGCGTATAAACTTGTGAACTGGATGACAAATGCAGTGAAAAGCATTAGTCCACCTGAAAGTGCTGCTGTATAATAGTCTTCCAGGATGCCTAACTGGTACAAAAGTGTTCCTATTCCACCCAAAGCCCATGGCATCAAAAAAAGCATAATCTGATTAACATATATGTAAGGAGGGGCACAATAGCCTAAATTGAGTCGAGGGCCTCCCAGAACAGTCTGTGGAAAGCGCTTCAGAAAGAAGTCCTGTTTGTAATCATTCAGCAGAGGCACATCTGGACTCATCCTTCTCACTCAGGATTTTTCTGAAAGTCACATCCTTTTCTGTAACACAGCGGTCTCTAAGAAAAAGAAAAAAATCACTATTTGAAAATATCATACTTAAAACATGAGGGAGAAAAATCCCATATTTCCATTAGTCAGTTCCTTAGTGCAGGATTTGTAACTTCACTTCTCTAGCTCCTTCCCATTGCCTGACACATACTTGGCACAAAACAAATAGCTGCTAAGTACTTTTTTTTTAATTTGGAAAAAAGTCATATTCACTATTAATTTATCTGGAACTTAGATAAACTTGGAATTTCTTAAGTAACCCACATTTTCAGATTTTGAGGTCAAAGGAAAGTTCAAAAAGCCAGTACTCTCAATTCAAATCTACTAGTGGTTTAACAGATCATTTCCCTGAGTGCTTCTGTTGTTTGTTTCTTAACTTTTCTATTACAAGGGTGAGAAAAATTTTTCTATAAAGGGTCAAACAGTAAATATTTTTCTGTTACAATGACTCAACTCAGCTGTTGTTGCAGAAAAGCAGCCATAGATAAGTGTATATTAGTAGCTGTCTTCCAATATAACTTTACAGTATTTATATACAAACAGGCTATGGGCCAGATTAGCCTGTGGGCCATAGTTTGCCAACCCCTGCTCTATAAAACAAGGATATTCTCTATAATTCCTTTGAATTGAAATGGAAATAGAAGTGGAAAATAGAAATACTGTTAGTCACATCACTTAACAATTATAGTAAACTTTTCTGATAATTCAAAAAGTCAAACCCTGCTAAAATAGTAGCATTTCAATAAAAAGCCACTGGCAGCTCAACATGCAGTAGGAAGGACAATGAACTGGAAACCAAAAGACTCCAAGAGTCAGATTACATGCCTATTATTAAGCATATTATTACTATGTTACCACATGTAAACCACTTCATGACTCAATTTTTAGTCTCTCTTTCTCTTGTCAGTTTCCAAAATCTACCAGAACTAGCAAAACATGAAATAATAAAAGGACCCATATATGCTTTAGTCTAGATTATTTTCCTTTAAGGGCCATAAAAAACTAAGGATCAAATAATATGGATTCTGTTCTCTTCAACTTTCCCTTTTCCTGTTTCTGAAAAACAGTTGCCTGTTAACAAGATCAGCTAGTGAAGCATTACCTCAGGGGTCATATACTAAGTTAGAAATGAAAAATTAAGTTTAAAGCCATCTTCATAAAGACAGACATATAGACCAACAGAATAGAATAAAGCGTCCAGAAATAAACCCTCAAATATACAGTCAAATATTTGACAAGGGTGCCAAGACCATTCAACGAGGAAAGAACAGTCTGCAAAAAATGGTGCTGGGAAAACTGGGTGTCCACATGCAAAAGGATGAAGTTAGATCCTTACCTAACACCATATATACAAAAGGTAACTCAAAATGGATCAAGAGCTTTAAAGTATAAGACCTAAAACAACCACTCTTAAAAGAAAACATAGGACAAAGCTTCTGATATTGGATTTGGCAATGATTTCTTGGGTATGACACCAAAGGTACAGGTAACAAAAGAAATAGACAAAATGGACTTCACAAAAATCAAATCATGTGCATCAAAAGACACTAACAACAGAGTGAAAAGACAATTAACAGAATGGGAGAATAAAATAAGTTGTGAATATCCAGGATATATAAAGACCTCCTAAAACTCAACAACAGAAACACAAACAATCTAATTCAAAAACTGGCAAAGAACTTGAACAGACATTTCTCTAAAGAAGATATACAAATGGCAATAGGTACATGAAAAGATGCTCAACATCACTAATCATTAGGGAAATGCAAATCAAAATATAATGAGATAACACTTCATGTTCATTAGGATAGCTACTATCAAAAAAAAAAAAAAAACCCCAGAAAATAAGTGTTGCCAAGGATGTGGAAAAATTGGAACCCTGTGCACTGATGGTAGGAAGGTAAAATGGTACAGTTGCTGTGGAAAACAGTATGGTAGTTCCTCAAAACATTAAAAATTGAATTACCATATGATGTAAGAATTCCACTTCTTGATATATACTACAAAGAATTGAAAGCAGGGTCTCAAAGAAATAATTTGTATACTCACGTTTACAGCAGCATTATTCACAATAATTAAAAGGTGGAAGCAAACCAAGTGTTCATCAAAGGATGAATAAATAAGCCAAATTTAGTATATACATACAATGGAATATTATTCACCCTTAAAAAGGATGGAAATCCTGCAAATTGCTATATCATGGGTGAAACTTTAGGACATTATGCGTAGTGAAACAAGCCAGTCACAATAAGACAAATACTATATAAATCTACAAGGTACTTAGAGTAGTCAAAATCACAGACAGAAAGCAGAATAGTTGCCATGGGCTGAGGGGAGAGGAGAATGGGTCGTTACTGTTTAATTGGTATAGAGTTTTACAAGATGAAAAGAATCACGGGGAGAGACAGTGATGATGCCTGCACAACAATGTGAATGCACTGAGTATCACTGAACTAACTGTACACTTAGAAATGGTCAAGATGGTAAATTTTATGCTCTGTGTATTTTACCACACACAAAAAATTTAAAGCCATCTTAAAGTAACCTTTCTTTCTGTCAGTTCAAAAGAGTCTTTCTGCAAGTCACTTCTTCCCAACCAACATCAGCCACGGAGGGAGCTTTTGGGTATCACAAAAGGTTTTTTGGTCATCACTAAGAATTACTACCTTAGAGCACCTCTTGCTATACTTTTGGGAAATTCTTTATACTGTAAACGTTTATCATCTTATATCTTCCAGCTACTAGCCTTAGCTCTATATAGAAAGTCATAGCTTTTACTCACATGACAGCCCTGCAAGTACTCACAAAATAACAGAACCACAGGGCCAGATGGAACCTTAATGGTTGATCGTTTAATCTCAGAAAATGAAAAGATTGCCTCTCTCCCCTCTGAATTAGCATATCTCCTGTACTGATGTCAGTGATGTCAGTGTATTGTACTGATATGCTTGTTCAGTACAAGCCATAGGTAAGTAAGGACATGCTCCTATGAGTATGGGTAAAGATTCTGATTTCAATTATCTATGGATGATACTATCAAACAGGAAATCGAGCTTGGATGGCTGGCCTGAGCATTTTGAAGAATCTAGATGTACCTGAAATTTCCCCAGGGAGTTAGGTAAAAGCTGGCCCCTCCTTCTCCACTTAGGCAAGTGAGGAATAAGGTGAGATGGCTCGCTGGGAAAGGAAGCCAGAAATTGAAGATATCCTATAAACTAGATTATCTAGCTGCATGTTACTACCCATATTCATTAACCTTTTAGTACTTCTGAGTCTTTTGTAAATTTAGTTTAAATGTTCACCCATTTGATGGAATACTCTATGATTATATTCCAAACAGTGGAATACTCTCAAGATCTACTGTTGATTTGGAAACATGGAAAGATGCCCACAATATATTGCAAAGTACAATAAACACACTGATGACCCCATTTCTGTTAGAAAAAAAAAGTACACACACTTGTCTGTATACATGGTTATCTGGTGTGTATAAGTGTAAAAAATTTCAAAAGTCATACTCACTAGGCTGTGTTTGTGTGTATTTTACATATAACATTTTGACACCTCTTTAAAGTACCAAATATCCTCTAGAATTCTCAACCCATGCCCTGTAAACACATCCTGTGGCCTTCTGGGTGCCTATGCTCATACCCTTTCCTTTGCCCAGGATGTCTTCTCCTTCCTTCCATAATTACTAATCTTAGTCAACTTTCAAGATTCAGTCTAATCCTTTCTGAAAATTTCGCAGAGCACTTAGACCAAACTATGCCTCTCTCTTATCTGTGTATCAAAAACATTGCTTGTTCATAGTACTCATCTTGTAACATGTATCAACAGAGGGCATTTCTTGTATTGTTCACCTCTTTACATGTCATCTTTTCAAATGTTTTTCTTTTCTCTACTATTAAGTTATTTGTGGGTAAGGGCCAAATCTTGAGATACTTCTGATTCTCCATAATATTTAGTAAAATACTGTACCTTGGCACAGAAAGGCATGTATTTAGTACATTACTGGCATAGCTTAAGATGATTAAAGTTGGAGAACATTAAATATTGTTGTTAAAAGGGAAGTTGGATGTTATTTACTGTTTTTGAAAACTTCTTCCAGCATATCCTGCCCCATTCAAAACAGTAAACCCATAAGCTCTTTATTCCCAGTTTTTAAATGTTTGGAAAGTATCTTCATTTATTTTTCTTATGGACTAAATAATGGCATCTAATGATAGTACTATTGGCTCAGAGAAGATTTTGCCTAGAGCAGTACAGTATCCCAGTAATACTGGAGCAGGATGGGCCTGAGGGAGAAACATGGCTGGGTTTCTCCCATGGAGAAGGAAATGGCTAGAGGATTTTAACATGTCAGAAGTCCAATTTTAATTTGCTCCTTGTCTTATGCTACACTTTAATCTCCTTCATTACCAGGAAGGAGCAGCTAGTTCTTACTAGGAGAGAAAAACAGGAAGAACAGCAGACACAAGAGGCAAAATAAGGCAGGAGCGATAATAAAGTGAGGGCAGACGAAAAAGTATGAAGGGTGTAAGTTCCCTCAAGAAGACTTAGGAGAATGGGGGAGGACACTGGGGTGGCGATTTATTTTAATAGAATATAAGAAGAAAGGCTGAAAGATACAGGATTGTTTGCCCTACAGAATGTTTTTTGAAAAGGTGTCTGTGGTCAAAGAAGTTTGAGAAACTATATACCAGACTGCAATCTTGAAGTCACAATGGATATCAGCAGACTAAAGACTCTGAGACATCTTCAAGTTAAAAAAAATACCACTGCAAATCTGCTTAAAATATGTCATTTGAGATTTCCAAACTTATTTGTCCTTGGAACCCATTTTTCCCTTGATATCTAATAACAGATCATGTGTGCAGTGTTTTATGGAAACTGCTTTCAAAAATATCGGCCTGGGCTTCAATCACAACCTTAAAGATTTAGGTAGGTGAAGC